GTACATGAGTGCCCCCGCTCCCAAGCATAAGTGTCATTGTTTGGCTAATTTCTAATAATAGTAACGGTGACCTATGTATTGCTTTTGTCTAGAGTTTGTTCAAAATGCAATAAAGAATGAATTCGTTAGGGCGGCGACACTGATTCGGGATAGGAGAGGAAGGAGCCAACATGTTCAAAAATCTATGACCTCCATCCTGTACAATGGCGGGGCATAAATACTGCAGATTTGTGTTGTCGATGCCAAGCTGGTAATGGGCGTTTGCTGGTTGATTGTGTATATAATACTGGAGGTCATATAACGAATATGTCAACTATACGTATATTTCAGACGCATAACAAGTCAGAAAATCATATTATATTTCGCTTAAGGTCCTGTCACACCTAGCCGATTGGGGTTGTCAGAGCTATACCGGAGCACAAATTTGGCGATTTTCGGGGATCGGTACAAGTACGGCAGCGCAACGGTATCACATCGCTAAGAACGGAGTACATCGTCAGGACATCGTCAGGACATCGGCGAAAAATTGAGCAAAGGCAGGCGACGTTTGAAAGTTTTGAACATGCTCAAAAATGTCCGCCGTTGCGGTACCGGAGCGAGCAACGGGACTACAACGGCAGTGTATTGGCAGTACTCCGGTATTGATTCGTTAATGTCGGTAGAGCACCGGTAGTGTCCCGTAATGTATCGGCGGCTCTCCGGTGGCCTCATTGTGTACTGTACTGGTATCGATGTGATACCGTAGTAGTACTACCAAATACCACCGAAGTAGTACTGATGCGCCGCCGATGTAATAGGTAACGATGAACAACTTAACATCGGCAGCGCAACGGTATCACTCCGCTATAGCTCCGGTCAACGGTGGCACATCGGTAGAACAACGGCGACGCCTCGGTATAACATCGGCGGCGCAACGGTAACACTAAGATGTCAGAAAAGTGGTATTCGGTAGCACATCGGCTCTTACATCGGTAGAACAATGGTATCACCACGGAAACGCTGGTACTACATCGGTATTGCTACGGTCAATTTTGATTTTTCAAGTGCTTTCTCGCCGGAGCTCTGCCGATTTTCTTGCCGTTGTAATTTCTTTGCTCCGGTTTAGTCCCGGCAAGGTACATCGGTAGTGTGTGACAGGCTCTTTAGAACGAACCAAGGGGAAATAAAACGATTAATACCGACTACCGTAAAGGTTTTGTTATTAGGGCAGCGGCTAATATCTCGAATGGGTTCAAGAAATTACCCTGTTTTCCAGAAACATGCGAAACGTATAAAGAAGTAGGACAAAAAGCTACAATTTTGCCTTAATAGTTCTGGCAGGACAATAACGGTATACGTTACCTTTCATAATTGATACATTAAGCGTTCACATGTATATGCTTAATGTTATTTTGATTCATTACATTGATGCATTATGGGGCACATCAAGGTTAGACTCAAAGAAACAGTAACCGAGTATCACTATCGAAACTGAACATGATGTACCTCTAGTTCATCCGATAAACCGACATTGTAGCATCTACTTTGTATATATCTCATTTGTATATGAATCTTTGTTGTATCCCAATAAGAACCTCTAACGTGGAATTTCTCAAGTCTAGGTTAAAAACATTCACACTTCGAAGGCGAAACCAGATATTGACAAAAGTACATCAGCACCAACAAGTGATTAAATGATTGCAAAAATCGCTTGCGACAGCTGTTGCATTCTCTAATGAAAGAACATGGATTGTGTGTCTCTTCAAGTCTAACATTGTTACTTCCGCCATAACATTTTCAGAATCAGGTCTAGACTCTGTAACCTTATAATAGTGACTCGAGCTGCCAAAATATCCGATAACATTCTAGAAATCATTACGGCAGCCATAAAAATTGCTAACGTTTGCATAATCTAAAAAATAAATTCTGCGTTGTAAATTGAGATGGTATGCAATTTAAAAAAAAATATCAAAATGCGTAAGTGTTCATTGGAAAATCTTCTATATTTGTTTAAAATAAGAAAATTTAAGCACCTCGACCTGATACACATGTCAAACAAGAGAAAAACAATAACAGCATTTATTTATCATAATCATAAAATAAGAGAATACCGAAGTGTCAACTAAACCATAAACTTAACTCAAAATCGATAAAACTAGGGCAAAATACGAACAAAGGGATTATTTATATGGAGATGATTGAAAACGTACAAGGGAAATAAGACAAGATGTTCTGGAAGGGTAAGCGGCTTCTGCTTCATCGATGACACCCGTCATGTAAATCTAGATCAAATAAAAAATGAGAACTTGTTTATGACAACAAAACCACAAGGCTCACTAAAGAGCATAATCAGAAACATCGACCTTCATACATGAATTACATAAAGAAACAACACATTTTCCGATGCGATCATAATGCATAATGGCGACCATGATTTTGATCATAGTCTTCTCAAGCTGCATCTGTGGGAACGCCGTGTTACGAGGCTGTCCATCAGCAGTCGACATCAATCACAAAACTCATGCTAATCGGTACAAGGTTTTTAAACAAATGCAACATGCAATCATCGAACTCAGGGAACAGGGATGTTACTGTCAAGCAAGGGAAAGTTGACGATCGAGAAGTCCAAAGCATTCTGCTTAACGTATTGCTTAGTAGTAAACTATCCCTGCCGGCCATGTTGGAAATTGACTGAAGGAGATATAGTCCTTGAGTTCATGCCAAGGAGGGTATTTCCTATCTATGTGGTCAATGCATTTCTTGTTATTCTAACACAGCACGTTGTCGATATATCTGAAGGATTTGGCTACGTTTTTGTTACCAGTCCTGATGAGCTCATCACTAAGGATTTGGCTACGTTTTTGTTACCAGTCCTGATGAGCTCATCAATAAACTAAGCTTCATATAAAAACGAATTGGTGGGAAGCGGGCACATTTTGTTCCCATAATAAATGTCTACAGTTTACTGGATAATCTTACCAACGATTTAAACAAAGATAGTGTTAGCCAATCATTCTTACAATTTCACCCTCAGTATATTCATTTTGGCTTTTGTTGTGCTTATCACAAAATATGGACCAAAATTATTTTAAACTAAAAAACATTAATTAATTTTTTTTTAATTTCGGCGTTCGCCTTTCTTGAAAATGAAAGCATTCATTATAAGAAAACAAAGGTGTTCTTTAAGTTGAGTATGAGGTGTGATAGTATAAAAGGTTGAAAAGTACCTACACTCCAATTCAGTACCACACTATTTCAAGCACTCGCTCTTAAGTGAAAAATATTTGTCATATGAAATTGTCATTTCATCACAGATATACCCCATATTAATGGAAATGAAAAGCAGCAGGTGTATAAAATGCATACTACAGCATTAAAAAGCTTACTCTTGATCTTCTTTTTTAAATGTTTATGTGGAACACCGACTACTACGTGGGAGATACAGAATTATTGAACAGTTACTCGAAACCGATGAGCAAAAAAAAAAAAAAAAAAAAAAAAAAAAAAAAGAAAAAGAAAGAAAAGCGAAGCCGGATCTTTAGTAATAGAGAACGTCTCATTCACAACCCCTAACACCATCTAATTTCTTTAATTGTGCAAAAACGTTGGTTTCAGGTTATTTTAAAGATCATGACATTTCTTCAGAATTTCATGAAGACTATCTTGCAGAAACCATGTCTTAGTTATTCATTATTCCACATGACGCATTAAGCATGGCGATATACGATTACAGCAGAATCTGGACAAATTTACATTTTTTTTTTTTTTTTTTTACAAGTTGACAAAGAAATATTCTAGACGTTTGTCTATCTTACAGTATGGCCCTGTGAAGCACATACTATCTCAACTGACATGTAAACAATGTTATATACAGCAGAATAAAAACAAATATGGAGGGTATTAAATGTAGCTAGTTGATAAAAATTTACATTCATATCACTGAAAAATAACAAAAAATATAACAAATACAAAAAAAGTTAGTTACAATCAGCACATTACTATGTTATCACGGAGGTGTAACAAGGAGAGAGTAAGCATGGGCAGACAGTTGCCGGTGTTAGTATTAAAGAGGGGTTGGGGCGGCAGATATAGTAAGGGATTGGTAGAGAACGGAATAGGCAAGCAAGTGATTGGGCAACTCCCATCTACAAGACTGTCAATCTGTTGTCATACGTTTTGCAAAACGCTCTTTGACTGCAGGATACCCCAAAGCAGATATGTTTTCTGACTTTCATAATCTTCCTCACTCTGTTAGAATTGTGTGCAAAACACTTGCTTAATCCATTCAGAACCAGTATATGCGTGCATCTCCGACAATTCCTCAACGTTATCCAGGAGAGTTTTGAAATGATGCCTAGTTATAAAGCTTCTTTCCGGTAAATAGCACTAGCCTCAAGGCTAGCAAGCCTTGTTTCCGTAGTATGTCCCAAAACGTGGTAGTTTTGAACTCAGTCAAGACACCTCAAATTCATAATAAACAATGTCACGATATTGCATCAGAAATCATGTCATTGTGTCATGAATATGGCAGCGTGCTGTCGATGACGTCAGACTGATAGAGTTTGTCACGATTGTATGTGTCTAAAATGTACCAAATTGACCCAACACTGTTGATCCATTTAAAATAAAACACCTTCATTCAAAGTTTTGAACAATATTTAAAACCATAAACTTTGCTCGTCGACACATGTGAAGGGAATTAGTATATACATGTAATACAACATAGCGTTTTCCTTTCCACGGAAAACCAACCTCCATTTCGACTCAAATAATATAAGTCCGATCCAAAATGTTCATGTATACACTATGTTCACACCTAAAGAATGAATTAAGCTCTCATTGTTATTTACGTTTGATTTCTGATTCTTGTGTCGGGTGCGGGATGGGTGTATTGTGTCATACTCGTGCAGACTCGTCGACATCAGAAAAGGACACCAGGTGAACAGACACCAATTCAAAAGAATAGAGAATACTGTTAAAATCTTTGGAAACAATATTGCATGAATCAGCAGAAAATTAAAAAGAACCAATAAATGTTTTAATAACGTGTCATGACAAAACTACAATGTCTGCTTTGAACCATCACTCAAATCGAGTCTTTTGTTAACTCCAACATTAAAACAAGTATCATTCAATAAAAATGTCTTACGTTACAAATACTTTCTCCTCACTCACTCAAACCCTTACCTACCCGTCTGTGTGCCTACACACAACAAAGTATATAACCCTTTCACAGATTAAACATTAACCGATAATAATGAACTTCCAGAAAAGTGTCTAAATTAAAAGCTTTCTAAATTTGGAACTCCCAAGAGGCCAATCCTTCCAGACTTCCAGGTGGCGTGAAAGACGTGGGTACGTGTTATGTCAACGATAAGTGTATAAGAAGGTTTTATGTATACATATATATTTTGATATCACATTCGAACACTAGGGGGCTATAGTGAGGTACTTTCCCTAATTTCCATGCGCCTCATACACACCCATCGTCAATGAAAGTGTCCATTTCGTCAATGCATCCGCCGTTGTAAAACGCACTCTTGATTTTGTCCTTATTCACGGTCACTAAAACGATTGCAAGCACCGATGTCATTATGAGCAATGTAGACTATTTAATGACATAAGGTGTATCGATATTTCGACAGCACCCCCGCAAATGGTATCAAAATTCTCCAAATGGCCTCTCGTCTGCATACATGACTGCTTCTAAGACTTCAAGTTCATCGCTTTCAATCTGTTTATGAGCCACTCCGCCTGCAATAAAAATAAAACCATTTCTACAAGACGACACATAGCTATCAGTAAATAAAGAATAAGTGTGTAAGTAATGACATGGGAATAGTAAACCTTTGGTAGCACTAAAAGGATGGTATTTCTAGAACGTCTAAATACTTATGTGTTTATTTCTCTATTTATTTTAAAATACAAAATTAGAAGAAGAAAATCAATACACTGTTTTGTTTAAATGTGGGGCCATGATGGTCAAACCTTTTGTATACAGTTTTCAGATGACCTTAGTTGTTGCAAAGACTTAAAACTCTTACCTAATTAGCTGTGGAGGCTAAAATGGCCATGCCATATTAATTAAACAGAGATACATATCAGGATCATCAGGTGTAAACCACAACCCACTAAATAGGTAACACACATCAGGTTCATCTGATGTAAACCAAAACCCACTTAATCAGTACCACACTTCAGGATCATCTGGTGTAAACTACAACCCACCAAATCAGTACCACACATCAGGATCGTCTGGCGTAAACTACAACCCACTTAATCAGTAACACACATCAGGATCGTCTGCTGTAAACCACAACCCACTTAATCAGTACCACACATCAGGATCATCTGGTGTAAACCACAACCCACTAAATCAGTAACACACATCAGGATCATCTGGTGTAAACTACAACCCACTTAATCAGTACCACACATCAGGATCGTCTGGTGTAAACTACAACCCACTAAATCAGTAACACACATCAGGATCGTCAGGTGTAAACCACAACCAACCAAATCAGTAACACACATTAGGATCGTCAGGGGTAAACCACAACCAACTAAAACAGTACCACATACATGTACCAGGATCATCTGGTGTAGACTACAACCCACCAAATCAGTCCCACACATCAGGATCATATGGTGTAAACCACACCCAACTTAATCAGTACCAAATACATGTATCAGGATCATCTGGTGCAAACCACAACCAACTTAATCAGTCCTACATACATGTATCAGGATCATCTGGTGTAGACTACAACCCACCAAATCAGTTCCACACATCAGGATCGTCCGGTGTAAACCACAACCCACCACAACCCACTTAATCTGTCCCACACATCAGGATCATCTGGCGGAAACCACAACCCACCAAAGTACCACATACATGTACCAGGATCATCTGGTGTAAACTACAACCCCCTAACTCAGTAACCCACCTCAGGATCGTCAGGTGTAAACCCCAACCCACTTAATCAGTATCACACATTAGGATCGTCAGGTGTAAAACACAACCCACCAAATCAGTCCCACACATCAGGATCATATGGTGTAAACCACAACCCTCCAAATCAGTCCCACACATCAGGATCGTTAGGTGTAAACCACAACCAACCAAATCAGTAACACACATTAGGATCGTCTGGTGTAACCCACAACCCACTTAATCAGTATCACACATTAGGATCGTCTGGTGTAATCTACAACCCACTAAATCAGTAACACACATCAGGAGCGTCTGGTGTAAACCACAAACCACCACATCAGTACCACACATCAGGCCCGTCTGGTGTAAACCACAAACCACCACATCAGTACCACACATCAGGGACGTCGGGTGTAAACCAGAACCCACTTAATCAGTACCCCATATCAGGATCGTCTGGTGGAAACCACAACCAACTTAATCAGTATCAGGATCGTCAGGTGGAAACCACAACCCACTTAATAAGTAACACACATCAGGAGCGTCTGGTGTAAACCACAACCCACCACAACCCACTTAATCAGTCCCACATATCAGGATCGTCAGGTGTAACCCACAACCCACCAAATCTGTAACAAACATCAGGATCGTCTGATGTAAACACCACAACCCACCAAATAAGTACCACACATCAGGAACGTCTGGTGTAAACCACAACCAACCAAATCAGTAACACACATTAGGATCGTCTGGTGTAAAGCACAACCCACCAAATCAGTTCCACACATCAGGATCGTTAGGTGTAAACCACAACCCAACCACAACCCACTTAATAAGTAACACACATCAGGATCGTCTGCTGTAAACCACAACCCACCTAATCAGTACCACATATCAGGATCGTCTGGTGCAAACCACAACCAACTTAATCAGTTCCACACATCAGGATCGTCCGGTGTAAACCACAACCCTCCAAATCAGTCCCACACATCAGGATCATATGGTGTAAACCACACCCCCCCAAATCAGTACCTCACATCAGGATCGTCAGGGGTAAACCACAACCCACTAAATCAGCAACACACATCAGGATCGCCTGGTGTAAACCACAACTTAATCAGTACCACATACCTGTATCAGGATCATCTGGGGTAAACCACGACCCACCAAATCAGTACCACACTAAACCACAACCCACTTAATAAGTAACACACATCAGGAGCGTCTGGTGTAAACCACAAACCACCACATCAGTACCACACATCAGGATCATATGGTGTAAACCACACCCAACTTAATCAGTACCACACTTCAGGATCATCTGGTGTAAACTACAACCCCCTAACTCAGTAACCCACCTCAGGATCGTCAGGTGTAACCCACAACCCACCAAATCTGTAACAAACATCAGGATCGTCTGATGTAAACACCACAACCCACCAAATCAACATGTATCAGGATCATCTGGTGCAAACCACAACCAACTTAAGCAGTACCACACATCAGGGACGTCGGGTGTAAACCAGAACCCACTTAATCAGTATCACACATTAGGATCGTCAGGGGTAAACCAAAACCAACTTGATCAGTACCACACATCAGGGACGTCGGGTGTAAACCAGAACCCACTTAATCAGTACTAAATACATGTATCAGGATCATCTGGTGCAAACCACAACCAACTTAATCAGTTCCACACATCAGGATCGTCTGGTGGAAACCACAACCAACTTAATCAGTTCCACACATCAGGATCGTCGGGTGTAAACCACAACCAACTCCATCAGTACCACACATCAGGATCGTCAGGTGTAAACCACAACCCACTAAATCAGTACCACACATGAGGATCGTCAGGTGTAAACCACAACCAACTTGATCAGTACCACACATCAGGATCGCCTGGTGTAAACCACAACCAACTTAATCAGTACCACATACATGTATCAGGATCATCTGGTGTAAGCCACAACCCACCAAATCAGTACCACACATCAGGATGGTCTGGTGTAAACCACAACCAACATAATCAGTACCACATACATGTATCAGGATCATCTGGTGTAAACCACAACCCACTATATCAGTAACACACATCAGGATCGTCAGGTGTAAACCACAACCCACCAAATCAGTACCACACATCAGGATGGTCTGGTGTAAACCACAACCCACTTAATCAGTAACACACATCAGGATCGTCTGCTGTAAACCACAACCCACTAAATCAGTAACACACATCAGGATCGTCTGGTGTAAACCACAACCCACCAAATCAGTAACACACATCAGGATCGTCAGTTGTAAACCACAACCCACCAAATCAGTAACAAACATCAGGATCGTCTGATGTAAACTACAACCCACTAAATCAGTAACACACATCAGGATCGTCTGGTGTAAACCACAAACCACCAAATCAGTAACACACATCAGGATCGTCTGGTGTAAACCACAAACCACCAAATCAGTAACACACATCAGGATCGTCTGGTGTAAACCACAACCCACTTAATCAGTAGCAAACATCAGGATCATCGGATGTAAACAACAACCCACTTATTCAGTAACACATATCAGAATCATCACAGGAAAACAAAACAACGCTGGTGTAAACCACAACCCACCAAATCAGTACCACACATCAGGATCGTCTGGTGTAAACCACAACCCACTTAATCAGTAGCAAACATCAGGATCATCGGATGTAAACCACAACCCACTTATTCAGTAACACATATCAGAATCATCACAGGAAAACAAAACAACGACCCGCCACATTCACAGTTATGCATCCCTGACCTTGGTATAAACGTGTTGTATTTCTGAATTATTACTAATCATTCTTATTAGGATTTTTCTGCCATCAGTTGATGTATCTACAACGAATGCTAGATAAGTAGACATGAGCGAACCCTATCGGTACGCACTGACAGAGTCATATGATAAACTGGAGTTATATTGGTTCTGACAATGTAAAGGGCACACTTTTAAAATCACGAGTAATCCCCTTACATGACATACAATTCGTCCTGTTCGTTTTTAGAATTAAACTAGAAATTCGTTTTTATTTTTGAAATAATATAGTTGATAATGGCACACACCATTAAACAAGTGATCCAGAGGGCCTGTATCGCTCACCTGGATATTGAAGCAATCATGGCAAATGTTTTTCAATGAAAGTAGTATGGCAAATAAGAATCTATGGGTAGGGCCATTTCCCTGGGCCAATTCTTGCAGCATATGTTTATCGAACTATTCATGCTCTGCAATTGTATTTATCTTATAAAAGGGTGTGGGGTTGTTTCCATGTTACGATCCAAGACTAAGGCTCTTAAGATTTGGCCAGACCCCAACTATTATACCATGACTGTATTCAGCTCTGCATGTCCAGCAATTGCTTGTATATGACTAACGAGTGGGGATTTCAACAGTTTCAAAGTTATGACCAAGGTACAAGTACCTAGGGGTGTAGCCTGGCCCAAGGTCAGTTCTGATATCATTGGCGTGTCTGTCACTTTGTGCCTAGCAATTATATATATTGTTATAGGCTTTGGATTCTAATCATTTCCAAGTTAAAAACCCTTCTTGGCCCCATCTCTCAACCTGCCGGGGGTTGGCCCTTCAACTGGTATAGCCATCAGTTCAAGAGAAGAAATAACTTCAAGCAGTATTGCCAAAGTGCTCTTTTTTGCCCCGCTCCACAGCTAACTGGGGGTCAGCACCTCCGTTTGTACAATTTTGAAACCCCTCTCCTGATAATGCTTCTTACCAATAACTTAGTTCCAGAGAAGTCGCTTGAATCAATATGACCAAATCC